CCTGGCCAACCCTGTGGGGTGGCCCAGCCAGCCTGCATAGTTACCGGTTGCCGTTCTGGGCTGGGGGCCTCAGCTGCAGGCCTTTACTGGAAACTGTGGCCCAGCTGGCTAGGGGAGCACCAGGCCCTCCGAGGCCTCAGACCAGGCAGGTGGGAAGCAGGCTGACTCGGTCAGGCAGTTCCAAGGCAGCCACTGTTTTTCTCCCTCTGCTCTGGTCTAGCGTTTGGGCCTCTGCAGTCCCCCAGCCTCCCTCCACTCACGCTGTGCCTTGAAGGGAGGGGGTTCCTCAAATCCACCCCTCGCTCTCGTCTCTGACCCCCACCCCCAGGTGTGCTGCACTGGTCAGCATCTGGTATGGCCCTCACTGATGGGGAAACTGAGGCTAAGAGGCCAAGAGTCCCGGGGGACCGCGGCCCAGACGTCCTGACCCCAAGCGGCTGGCCGCCCCCTCCCCTGTCTCCGTCCTCCGCCCCCAAGCCAGGCCCTGAACTGCGTGCCAAGGACACACTGGCCAATAGGACAAGAAGGCGTGAGAGCTTCCTGCCTCCGCCCTCACCCTGCAGGGCCCCACTCCCGGCAGAAAACTCCTGCCTTGGGGGTGGGCAGGCTGGGCCGCCATCTCAGCACTGACTTATCTACCTTCACAACAGCCAGATGACAACCTGGGGCTCAGAGACGCTAAGCTGCTTCCCTGGGCACACAGCCTGCCAGCGGCAAACACGGATACAGACCAGGACTGTCCACCTCGGGCCCCGTGTGCCCCCCACACACGCTGAGCCCCTGCCCCTGTGCTGGGTCTTCTGGCCCAGGCCCCTGGGAGATGAATTTAGGAACCGTCCCCACACCGTGTTGTAAAGATCACATAGACAGCTCTACAGAGCACTTGGGCCTTGGCCGGCTCCGGACAGGCTAAGCATGGGCACTTGGCCTGGTGAGGCCTGTTTCCTGGTCTGGGGGACACGACGTAATTAGGCGTGATTAGGATGCCTGCTGCGGCGACGGCTCCCGTGTGCCTGCTGAGCCTCTCCCCAAGGCCACGGGCCAAGGAGGGCAGACAACCTGGTCACCCCAGCGTCCAGGCCCTCACAGCCCCGAGTGTGGAGCACGCCCAGGCGGTGTCTGCTGAGTGGGGCTGGGGTTAAGGGACATTCACAGGACCCCTCTGCTCCCCAACTCCCCCCAGGGATCCCAGGGATCTCCTCTGACTTGCTTTGGGGTTACTGCCTGGCACTCAGAAAGGGCAACCCCACCGATCACCCTATGGATGGTTCTGACATGGCCAGGCTCACATGGAAACCCCAAGATTCTCAGAGTCCTGAGACCAGAACCCGGTCCACATGGCCCCCGACTTGGTCCCCCACTTCCCACTCGAGTGCCTCACTGCCCCTCATGTGTGGCCAGACCTGATGCCCCAGGAGGGCCCCCCTACCAGGAGAACGTCTCCTAACCTTTTTTTAAACGATTACAAATGTCCTAGTAACGTGTCACCAAGAATACAGGAATGTGACAATAACAAGCTCATGTCCCCCACCCTACAAGAGCCCGAACCTACGTTGTTCTTTGTGTCGGTGTGTGTCCTTAGTCATACGTAGGCTGGGGATGCACCTTTGACCTGAGGCGTCCATCAGTGTAGACACAGGGTGGATAGTGGTGGGTTCCCGCATCCCCGTGTGCCTGCCCCTCTGCCTGCCTGTGCACAGGGCCAGGTGCTCCTTGAGCCGCACAAGCATAGAGCCCATGGCCAAGGTCGGCAGTCGGCAGGTCCGTTGGCCCCAGGCCTGTTCTGACACCAGCTCCGGGAAGTGGCCAGTTCCGTGGGGGACCCAGCGTCCTTCGAAGAGGGAATCAGACCTTGACTGGGGCTCCGACCGCTCACTGGCCAGGTGTTCCTTCCAGCACAGCTGCACCTCGCAAACTCCATCCTGGCAGTTCGCCCTGAGCAACAAGGGGGATCCGCTTTGTCAGGTGACGTGGCCACCACATCCCCTTCCAAGACCCGCTGGAAGCCGGAGCCGTTTTTTGCCACTCTACCTCACAATGGGGCCTGGAGCGCTTACTTTATTCCCGAGTGTCTCTCCAAGTGGGACGTGACATCCTCACCCCCTCCCCCAGCCCCTCTGTGTCCCTGCTGCAGCCCGCCATCGCCCTGACTTCTCTGGGTGTCCCAGAGCTCAGGGCAGCTCTGTGGCGCCCAGCAGGCTTTGAAGTTTTGCTGCTTTTGGAAAAAACAGACCAAAAAAGAAAAACAAAATGCAGACAGAGAGGCCTGGCAGTTATGGGGCCCTGAGAGCGGCTGGGCCTGGCTGCTTGTCCAGAGAGTGAGGAAGGACAGACGGAGGCTCTGGGGACATGTTCCCGAATGTGTTCGGCTGACTGAGGTGGCTCTGTCCACCCCAGGAGCACCATGGCCCCACTAGCTCCTCAGCGTTTCTGAGCCTCTGTTCCCTCTGTGAGACGCAGGCTGGTGGGGGAGAGGACAGGGTCAATGAGCAAACACTTCGGATTTTTTCTGAGGTTTTTTTTTTTCCCCCATTTTCTTAATGTAATTTATAATTTCTTAATTTTAATTTGTGCTCACTGTAAAAAGATTCCAACGTGGCTTCCAGGTTTCTCCTTGCACTCCCAGGGTAGAAGGGGACAGAGCCGCATGCTTCTGGGGCTGTTGTCTACCTGGTCCTCAGGCTGCGGTTGCTCCCACAGCCCCACCAGGAGGTGGCTCCACCGTGGGGGCAGCAGTGCCGACCACTGCTTCCTCCGCAACGGGCAGGCCACTGTGGGATGTCTGGGGCTGCACGTGAGTCTGCGGGTGAGCCGCACGTGTGCACCCTTGGGGGCATGCTGCTGAAAACGCCTCTGCTTTGGTAGCTTTGTGTCCTCTCAGGGGTGTTGGTATAGGAAGGATTTTAGTAAGAACTGGCCTGGATGGCGGATTCGCACGTGATTCCTGCGTTTCAATGATGATGGGGTTTTTCTGAACATGAGATGGCAGTGTGAACGCTAAGGTTGGTAAAAGTGCCTGAGGGTCCCAGCTGGAGGGGGTGGGGGAGGCGCCTTAGGCCCTGGTCCCCCTTGGTTTGAAGGCACAGCAGGAAGTGGGGACTAAGGTGGGGCCCAAGAAGGTGGGCTAGGGTCACCAGATAAAATACAGGATGCACAGTTAAATGTGAATTTCAGATAAACAGTAAACAGCACTTTAGTGTTTGTATGTCCCAAATGTTGCACAAAGCACCTTATTCTACCGCGTATGTGTTGCCTACCCCACGTTCACATCTAGCTGGCATCCTGGGATTTTTGCTAAATCTGGTGGCCCTGTGGGAGGTCCCAAGGCCTCCTCCACTTTAGGAAGGTGGATGGATTAGAGGCTCAGGGAATCCTGGCAGGGGAAGGTGACAGGGCTGAGAGGAGACCCCTCCTCACGCTGGACAGTGGGAACCGCACCTGGCACCAGAGAGGCAGATAGAAGGGAGAGGGGGGCAGGGAAGGGGAGACTCACCTCCAGTAAAAGCAGCTGCTTTCTAGACAAGGTCAGGGCGTGGGGGGTAGGGGGCCGGCTGGGGGCCCAGTGCTCCTGCTCAGGAGAGAGTACCATGGTCTGCCCTGGGGCTGTGGCCACCACCTCCCTTCCAGTTTGGCCGGGGCCTCAGCTGGGTGCCAGCTCTCACCAGTCCAGAATGCGAGCAATCCCCACCCCCAGTGCCCCTGGGAGACCCTGGAGACCTGACAGACCTGTGGCCTCCAGAGGATGGCCAGGCCAGAGTACCCGCCCTACGTTCCCTTGGGGGGTCTCCAGGGCCACGCCCCTTTCTTGTCTTTTGTGCCTTTTGTTGGCAGCCTGAGGGAGGGTGCGTCCTGCCTGGAGACTGCAGGCCAAGCCTCAGATTAAATGGAGCAAATTCCCTGGAGCCTTTGGTGCTGCCTGCAGCCCCAGGGGAGGGAAGGGAGGCGAGGAGGCCTTGGAATGCCTGGAGTTTTCTGGGGGATGGCTGGTGTAGAGGCTCCAGACAAGGCCCCCTGCCCCTCCCAGGCCGCTCACAGCGGGGCAGGCCTGTGCCCTGGACCACTGACCATGGCCTGGGGGGAGGCGGGTTGGCTGCCCTCAGTCATTGCAGAAGGAAGGATCCTCGCGACTGCTGACAGATGGGGAAACTGAGGCTGGCCCTGCCTGCTCTCCCCGAACCCAGGGCAGGTTTCTTTTCTGGCCCAGTTTAGCCATCTCCTGATCGCTCTCTGACTGGGCCCTGGGCTGGACAACACCGAGGAGGGGACATACGTCCTTGGGACAAGTTTGAGTGTGAGGTCCTCGTAGGCTTCTGTCCTGGTGCCCAAGGCACTGCTGGAATATTGTAGCCGATGCCACTTGGTCTGACTCTGGGTTCGACACCTTGCATCACGGTGGCCCAGGCGAGGGGGCCAGGGGCCTGGACCGTGCAGGGGCAGCGCGAATGGAAGAAAGTGTGGGACAGGCTCAGGGGCGCCCAAGAGCAGGGGCTGGTGGCGAGGAGAGAGCAGCACCCCCAGGACAAAGTCTGGAGGAGGGTGGTGGCACTGGCAGGCTATGCTGCTGCGATGCGGGAAGGGCTTTGGGTCTGAGGTGCCTTGGGGGGCCCTGGGCTCAACACAGAGCCTCTGGAGCTCCCAGGCTGTGGGTGGGTGACAAGACCCCATCCAAACGCCAAAATGTGAGCCAGAATCCGTGCTGAGAGAGAGGCGGCTCGGGGAGACCCCTGTCAGACCTCCAACGGCAGCTCCCCAGCAGCCAGCTCTGCAGAGTCCCCCCTTCATCAGGTCAGGATCCCTGGAGTTAGTGCTGTCTGGGCTCCACCAGGCCCCGAGTGCAGGGAGGTTTGGGGTCCCCAGCCAGATATGAACTGCAGAATTGGGGGTCAGCTCTGCTGGGAGGCATGGGAAAGAGGCAGGCTTCTGGAAGTTTCCAGATGGGCCCATTGCAGCTCTGACCTAAGGCACAGTGAGCGGCAAGGGGGTGATAAGGGCTGTTGGGACCTGGTACCCTCAGCCCACTGTCCTGTGGAGAGCTGTTGAGGTGAGCGTCTGCTTGGAATCCCAGGTCTTGGGAGACAGGTGCTTGGGGGGACCAGCAGGCCCCTGAATGTCAGCCTTGGGCCTGACCTCTGGAGGTGCTACTCTACTATAGAAATATGGGGTCTTAGCCACCAAAAAGAGACAACAAAAAAATGTCAGTATATCTATGCTGGGTTTTCATGAGATTTAGCTCCACAACAGGCCTGTGGTGGGTCCGTCATCGCTTCCATTTTACGTGAGGCCCAAAAGTGAAGTGACCTGTGCCGCGGCTCATGGAGTCCAGGACGGCCTCACGACAGCTTCTCACCAGCCCCGTATGGGCCAGGACCTGGCCACCGGTCAGTCGTGAGCCCGCCTCCATGTGGCCCCTGGCGGCGCTGGCTGGCCCCCAGCCCTGGACTCACACCAGCCTCCCCCGTCCACAGTCCTCATCCCGCCGTGCCGGCCTCTGCTGCACCAACTGCCACACGACCACCACCACGCTGTGGCGGCGAAACTCGGACGGCGAGCCAGTGTGCAACGCTTGCGGCCTCTACACGAAGCTGCACGGGGTGAGTGGGGGCCGGGCGGGCTGCCCCGATGGGTCACTTAACCAGCCTCCCTGCCCTGATAGACCAGGGGGCTGTGGAGGAAAGAGGCAGGGGTGGCACGGCAGCTGGCCATGGTACACGCGTGTTACACACGTGGCCCCACGCCCAGACTGTTCCTTTTAGGCCCGTTGTGCAGATGGGCTCACTGAGGCTCAGCCACAGCCGTTCAGCCGGGGGCAGAGGCTCTGGGAGGTTGTGGTGGGACGGCTCCTCCCCATTCCCCCTGAAGGAAAGCACCACAGCGGGGCCGCAGCTCGCCCAGCAGGGCTGTGAGGACACGTTGGCTCCAGGAGTGACTGGCTCTGCAGGGCTGAGCTCAGGACCAGCGGCCCTGCAGGAGGCCTAGGGCTGAGCATGGAGAGGGACCAGCCACCCACCCCTGCCTGTCTCTGCCAGGTGCCCAGGCCCCTAGCAATGAAGAAGGAAAGCATCCAGACGCGGAAACGGAAGCCTAAGAACGTTGCCAAGGCCAAGGGCTCCTCAGGTGCCGTCCAGGGCCCACCAGGATGCCGGGAGGGAGCCCGGGCCCAGCCCCTGGAATCACCCCCGGCCCCTCTGGTGGGGCACAGATTCTCCCTGTGGAGTCACGTTGAGTGTCTCATATTCCTCCATTAGAGACTTAACATGTTTGGTGCAAGCATTGTTCTCCTGAAGCCCAAATACCCCCACCCTGTCCTGGAATGGCTCTGGCTGGGGGAGGGGCCGGGTGGCCTGAGCTCACCCAGCGGTGGGGCAGGAAGGACTGAGGAAGCCACACCCAGCCCCCCTCACTCTGACCAGCGCTGCTACACCTGGCAGCGTCTGCAAACGCCTCACCTTCCCTCCTAGGGCCGGCAGGCAGCACCGCGGCCTCGCCTCCATCCTCCGTCCCCAACCCTGAGAGCTCAGCGGCCACTTTGAAACCCGAACCCAGCCTGGCGTCCCCTTCGTGCCCTGGGCCTAGCATCACCTCCCAGGTAAGGCGGACGGGGTGGGGCGGGTGCCCAGGCCCCTGAGCACCTCCTCAAGGAACCCTGGCTCCCCAGCCAGGTCACAGCCCCTGCTGGCCGTTCCCGGGAGCTTAGGGCTGGGCACACAGTTGGTCATTGGTACCAAGAGCTGACCTGTGGCAGACGCTGGGCTGAGAGCCCTGCGTGTTGATCACATCTACCCTCACAAAGGGTCCCCCACCCCATTCCAGGAGTGAAGCCCTGTCGAGAGGGCTCCCAACCCCACGTGAGGCCACCGGCGTTCCTGCATTTTCACGTGTCCCCTGTCCTCCCTGCAGGCCTCTAGCCAGGTGGACGACCCTTTGGCTCCCAGCCACTTGGAGTTCAAATTCGAGCCTGAGGACTTCGCCTTCCCCTCCACTACTCTGGGCCCCCAGGCTGGCCTCGGGGGGGCCCTGCGCCAGGAGGCCTGGTGTGCGCTGGCATTGGCCTAGGTCCCCGGTCACCCACCGGACCCACCTCGCTGCCTGTGTCACTCCAGCACAGCGGAGAGACCATCTGCCCACCGGCAAGAAGAGATGGAGCCAGCAGGCCCTCGAGGCACTGGGCATCCCTCAGCAGGCGGCAGGGAGGCCTGCTGCGGGCAGCAGCTAGGCCCAGAGCAGGAGGAAGGCTCAGCCCCCTACAGACAGCAAGGGACCCCTAAATGCTGCACGAGGCTTGGAACCACACTGGGCACTCCAGCCAAGGCTGAGCCTGGGTGCCCACCGCCACCTTGAACTCTGTTGTCAACACTCGCCATTGTCATGTTTACAGGTTGCAGCAATTGGAAAAAAACCCAACCTTTTGTTGTAAAGCCAGGATCACAAGTGGAGTGGCTGAGGCTGGGCAGAAAAAGGAATGAGGGGAGCAGCCAGCCGTGGGGCGCCCTCAGGCCTCGGGGTCTGCCCTTCATGTCCCACCTCTGAATGATGGAGCCACAGCACAGAGAACTTCCCTCCTCTGAGCACAGGACTGCCAGGGACAGGTGTACAGGTCGTGCACTGTACCAGGACGCCACCCCAAGGGGAAGTCCTTCACACCGTGGCCATCAGGGACCTGTGTATTTATTTGGACGGTTTTCCCAGAGAGGGGCAGTAAAGGGCCTTGTTCTGACTGAATCTGTCTGTGAGCATCTCTAGTGGACAGAGGAAGTACCTGGCCCCGTTCGGACCCGCAAAGGCTGCTGGCTTGTCTGTGGTCCCAGCAGAATGGTTCATCCCACCCCCTTCTCTTACAGAAGCCCTCCCCTCACAGAGTGGGATGATAGACGCAACTCTGCCAAGGGAGCTGATGGGTGGCTCCTAACAGCAGCTTGACGTCGGGGAGGCGGTAGGGACTGGAGGGGAGTGGGGCACGCCTGCCCCAGGGCTACAAGCATATTTCCACTTAGGTGCTGCCTGCTACCAAGACCTGATTCTTCCAGGGGAGCCAGAAACTAGATTTTTTATTATTTTTTATGTGAAGCCTTCTTACTGAAAGTTTCTTTTCCCCAACTCCCAATTTGGTTCAAAAATCTTTTCGATGTTGTGAGCCAGCTAAGACAGCTGTGAGCCAGCCACCACCGTGCCACTGTTTGTTGTCCCTGGCGTCAGCTTCTAGAGTGTTTCCGTTCATCCTGCAGTTGTCCCTTGAGGTTCAACCGGCCCAATCTCCACATGATGTTGTCTTTTTTTTTTTTTTAAGACAAATGAGGCCATAAGGAAACATGTGAAATAAAGACCTTGACTTTGGTTTCCTCTCCCATCACCTGTGGGGTTTCCCAGCCTCGTCCCTGCCTGCCAGGTCGGCGGCAAGTCCAACGTTCATTCAGACTGCCTCTCCTTTCAGAAACGCGTCCTGGGGACCAGTCTGCTGGACTTCGCTGGCCACTTTGAGTCCCTTAGAGGTCACCCACCAGCCTTGTTCCCCACCTGTGAATCGGGGGTCCCCAGCCTCCCACATGGAGAGCGGCTGGAGGACCTTCCCCCAATGGGTCAATTAAATGCAGAGTCTCAGGGCCTGGGGCCTGGGAACTGGCATCAGTCACACAGGCCAGGGTCAGGCCGCAGAGGAAAGCCCACGGGGGCAGGGTTGGCCTAGCAGCTCAAACCAGCCGCTGGATGAGATGGGAGCAGGTGGCTGTGCCCAGGGTCACGTGCCCGGTGGCCAGACGTGAGGCCACAGTCATGGGGTGAGCTTGGTGCCATCTCCTCTCCATTCCTATAGGCCTCGGCTGCCTTTCCAGGAGACCATTCACAGTGAGGGAACAGGCACAGAGAGGTTGAGGGGTGGCCCAGCTGGGGAGTGGGGAGCCCCTTCCCGTCTCCTTGTCCAGCGTCCCTTCACCTGCTCAGATGCTCTGCCTTATGAGCCCCACACTTGCCCTTCCCCCTCCATGGAGGTGGGCGCCATTGTCTCCCTTCACGATGAGAGGAAGCTCAGAGAGGTGACACGAGACACCAGGCCACAGCAGGGCCCACACCAGGGCCCGGGCATGGAGGGGACAGCACAGTGTCCTCACACTGCAGCACTGCCACCGGGGAGCCCAGTGGCATCTGTCAGAACCTCAGTTTCCCCATCTGTAGGTGGAAGAGGGTGCCATGTGCCTATGTCTAGGTCTGCAATCCATGCCCACGTGCAGCAGGCACAGGCCCTGGGAGCCCCCAGTATGTGGAGGCCGCGCTCAGCACTCACCAAACCAAGGAGGCTTCCTGGAGGTGACTACAGCAGGGTTCCCACAGAGGGAGGGCAGGAGGGGCCGGATGCCCCAGCCCCTGGGGACCCCGTCTGCCCGGCTGTCCATGAGGAGGGGTCACCAAAGAGAAGGCGAGATTTGGCAAAGCGGGAAGGAAGCAGCAATCTCTTCCACCTGTTTTTGTCATTTTTAAGGACATGCCCAGGATGAGGAAGGCTGAGCACCCCACCTCTGGGCACGGGCGTTGCTGCTAAATTTAAGCCTTTCTCCATCAGTGCCCCTCCAGGGCCGGAAGCTGTCAGGACCTGAAGCCTTAATATAGCCTCCGGGCACCCCACTTCCTGCAGCTCTTCCGCCCCCCCCCCACCTCACCCCCAACCCCGCAGCTCTGCCCAGCTGGTCACAAACAACAGGACCCTGGGGAGGCTGGCAGGCCTGGGCAGTTCAGGGCCGCTAATCAGAGTGACAGGATGGAAAGAAAGGGCACTTCGTCTGTGCTGCCTGACTGGGCGCACTTCACCTCCCATCCTCCCTCGAGTTGAGGCAGATGTCCAGAGAGCCCAGAGGAGGGGAACCCCCATCCTGCGACTGTCCCCTCCCACCCTCAGAGTGTCCACCGAGTACCCATTGGGTTCCTTCCTGGGTGCTGGGGAAGGGAGACGCCCCTGCCAGTGAAGTCAAAAAAATGGAGCACACAGCGCATGGAAAAAGGGGAGATACCCAGGGTCCCCTCAGTTGGGGTTTCTTGAACCAGAACAATTTATAAAGTACCTTAAAGCCCTTAATTCGTTGTTTCACTCCAGACACAGAGCAGCAGCCAAAAGTGTCCCAGGCACAATACTGCAGAAGCAGCCCCCCCACGTACACACGTGTCCTCGATGATGGTGTCAGCGTCAGCGGGCACCCAGAGGCTCCCGCTCACCCTGCCTTCTGCGCACAAACCTGCTGCGGTTTGTCAGTGGGGTATTCGCTGCGCATTCCTCAGCACCCCCGGTGCGTGTCTCTCCCTTGGGCCTCGTCCAGCTGCCCAAAGCCCAGAGCTTCACGGCGGGGCCAGGGCTATGGGCTGCTTCCCCCTTTGTTACGGCAAAGGACGGCCGACTCCAGAATGAGTGTGAATTCTCCGGGCACTTACTAAGAAGGAAAATTGTCCTTGGAGGAAGGAATTGACCAAATGACCTTTCTTAGAGAAGGCCAGTTGCTGCTGTCACCATCATTCTGCCACCAAACACGGGACACTCGGGGAAGGGATGGTGTCTTCACATTCCTCTGTCACTGCTCTCCTTTGCCACAAGCCCAGGACAGTTTGTGACGGCTCGGGGCTGCCATTCTCAAGGCTCTGTGGACAAGCGCTCAGAAAGAGGATGACAAGGACCCCATGTTGACCCCCCCTGTGGCAGACAAGAGGCCAGAGAGAGTGGGGTTCCCTGAGGCTGGGAGGCTGTGGGCCAGAGGTGCCCAGTCCATCCACCCACATGCACCTCTGTGGGGGCTGAGCCAGCCCCAAAGAGGAGGGGGCTGGCTGAACCCCACAGGCCCCTCGGAACCGGGGTGGGGGTGGCTGGCCCTCGACGGCCACGCGGAGGCCTCGGTGGGCAGCCCCCCCTGCAACGCCCTGCGAGGCCGCCAAGATGTTGACACGGACGGCTCCAGCCGCCTTATTTATTATCTGATAAAGGGCTCTCGGCACCGCTGGTGGACGGCGTCTGGCCGCGCTGGGGCCTGGGGGAGGGGGACCGGAGGCCAAACCAGGCCTCCGCCTGGACTCCAGGGCAGGACGCGTGGAGGAATCTGGACCTTTCCTTCCCCGGCCAACAGCCTTTCTTCTCCACTGCCCACTGAGTCAGCAGGCCAAGGAGAAACTCGGCTCCGCTCGGAGGGGCCCCCGGGGCCTCTCTGCCTTGGCGTCACACCCTCAAGACCTGCACCTCCTTGCTGTCAGACATGCTTCCCCTGGTCCCCGGAACACCCCCAGCTGGGGCCCTTCTCTCCGCTCACCCCTCCCACCCAATTACTGCCGCAGCCCATCCCCCACTCCTCCACTTGGCCCGGAGCTCGGGCTTTCCATGATGCAAATCTGGGCCTGTTTCTCCTTTGCTTCTAAACGCTCTGGCCCAGGTACCGCCCAGCAACAGCACAGCTGGCCCCAGCCATGGCCACCCCGTGGCCTCAGGAATCTCCTTTCCCAACACCTACGTCCACTCCTGGGTACAGGGGACACATGCCAGGGTCCAAATGCATCATGCCTCTGGGCCTTTGCAAGTGCTGTTCCCTTTGTGATGCCCTTCCTTATGCATGCCCAACCAGTGACATGGTACTTAGGGACCAAGACCCTCCCATGCCATCTCCTCCAAGTCTTTCTCAGGCAGTGTTAGGAACTGGCAATCCACAGGTATCCATGGTGCAAAGCCATCACTGCTGCCCAAGGCTGCCCCTGCACAATGGAAACAACCTAGATGCCCAACAAGAGGGGATCAGCTAAATGACCAAGAAAATGTGTCTAATGAGCCTTTAAAGATCAGAGTTCCTAAGAGTATTGACCAATTACAGCTTATTCTAAAATGTTTTTCCCTAAACCTTCTCTGAGTTAGATTTCATAGCCAGGAAAGAGATGACAAAGGTAGCCTCCGTGGGGTCTCCACCAGTGTCACCCTCTTCTCGTGCAAGGTGGGCCTCCAGGACAGATGGAGACCACCTGGGACCACTGGGGGACCTGGCCACCCTGGACACCAGGCAATAACCAAAACAAGTCCCTTCCCACTGGGTCTTCGGCAGAGGCAGGTAATGGTCCCTGTGCCTTCTGCTTGACCTCTGAGAGAACTGGGGCAGGCAGGGCAGGTCCTAGCCCAACCCACACACCCAGCCTACCCGTGCTTCTCCCTTGGAGCAGTGACACTGAGTCCCCTGGCTGGCCACTTCGTCTGTCCAGCCTCAGCTTAAAGGCCTCCTCTTCAGAGAGGCCCTGCTTGTCCACACTGATACAGGCAGCGTTCCTCTCCCCACCCCCACCCCCGGCCCTTCCTGGCACTCGTCCTCTCCGTAACCACAGATTTGAATGTTCCCATGCTCCCTCGGGCTCGCCCACTAGAGACACCTTCCCTGAGAACAGGGCCTTGTCCAGCCCACTCATCCCTTGTCCAGCGGTGAGCCCAGCGCCGGGCCAACACTCAGGGATGGGGGACTAGATGCATGAATGAACCACTAGCCTGTTCTCTGTTCATCTGTGGAGGGTGGACAGACCAGCCCCCCTGGGACTGCCCACCCCCCCAGAAGCCCATCCATCCGCCATGGGGTGGCGGCCATCTGTCTGTCCTCAGTCATCCTGCAGTGCTCAGTACTGCTGAGGACAGCCAGGGGTGGGGACAAAGGGGGAGAGGTGGGGTTCCCAAAGGAGGATTTGTGTGGGATTGCTGGCTCATGGAGGCCTTGCTCCCAGAGCCTGGGAGGGATCTGGGAGCGGGGAACCCACCAGGGCAAGTTCCAGCTGTGTCCCAGCCCCGGGTGCATCCTGCAGGAGCTGGAAAGTGTGGTTTGGCCCGGCCCAAGGCACGGACGTTAGCTCTCACCCTCCACACATCTGAGGTCTCCATGGCTGCGACCAGTTCAAATGGCTGAGCCCCCGGGCCTGTCCCAGGTCAGGGAGCTAGGCAGGGCTGGACATCCCCACGCCTGGCCAGTGGTGTGCAGGGACTTGGAAAAGAAGAGGGCCACTCGAGGGGCCTTCAGAGCCGTGCACACTCAGGGTGTCCAAACGGCAGGGCAACACACGGCAGGGCTGCCTCACCCCAAAGCCGTGGACACTGGCCAGGCTGAGTCCGCAGGATTCTGGTTCCCAGAAATTTGAAAATGACTCCAGTCAGGGAGGGGCCTGGGGCTCTAACGTGGTCTGAGGGCTTCATGTCTGACCTCTGAACTCATTATTTCTAAGTCAGTCTCTTGTATGTAAAACGGGCCAAGTTGTTCAACATAAACATTTTAGAGATTACACAATTGTCACGCCCTCTCCTGGCATGAGTTTGTTTTCTAATATGCAAAGGACCTCAGGACACGGCTGTG